AAATGACCAATGGGTTATCCACTGATTTACTGGGTCAAGCACTAATTCCATGTTTTTTACGATTACTGTTTAGTCTGAAAGATGATCATGATTAGGTTGGTGTGATTTTCGTTTATCCTTAAGAAACATTATTTTTATTTAAAAAAATGAAGATTTGACTTGGACTAATGATATTCCAGTAGAACTTTGACAGTCAGTGATTTGTTGCATAAGGTGACAAATAAGAGGTTGTTTTTCAAGTGTAATCCATTTTCATCAATATAACTAGTCAGTTTCAAAAAAATAATCCGGAGATCGGGCTTTTTAAACAGTTTTTATCATTATTACTACGATTTCTCAATGGTATTCCTAAAATCATTATATATTTTAATATCTCATAGATACAGAGAAATAGCTATAGATTATTACATGCAGGATGTTGATAGATGGCGTGATTGATTTAATGTTTTCATGAAATTTTCAAAATAATTCAATCTTTTGAACTTATTAGAAGTACAGATTTCATTTAAAAACTTTGTATATGTGTATTTATGTATACGTTTGTTTATGGAATAATCACACTACATTAAAAATTAGTCCCAAATTACACTTAGTTAAAGGGGTAGAATTTTTATGAATGGCGAATTAGTACATATACTTGCATACATGTACGCATGTGTATATGTGTCAGTGGTCATAGTTACACGATAATGTTGGATATATTCACAATGATTCCTAATCATTTGTTTATTTATCATGAAATCGAAATTCTTTGTCTCATTATAAAAAGTAATCGATTATTTAATAAACAGTAAATAAAGATTGCATAGAATAATGAATAGGGACTTTGTAATGAATTCACAGTTATCATCGTTACTACAGGAGGTTTGCTAGAATTGTTCAATTTGAAGTTGTTTTTTTACCTGGAACTGGTTTCAGCTAAATAACCAATGAAAAGTAAGGGGGAGTCGTGAAACAACTCCCTCGTCCTAGTATGGGACTCGACCCATCTTGAGGTTAAACTCTGGACATTCATATTTTTAACTTCTGTTAATCTAAGATATTCAGTGACAATTATCTATTACTACTTAGGATACCTGTCTAACTCCCAGCGTGTTTGGACTGCGTGGGTTAAGGCTTCTCATTGAGACTTCGAGAAGTCTATTCGAGTTTAGTCACTAGTGTACGTGTGGTTATTATTAACATAGGATGTTTATAGAGATTGTTTACTTAGAAGTCAATTTACCTTACAAAGTGAATTCGATGACAAAACTAATGAAAATCAGAGTGGCATTTAACAACTGTTTCGTCACAGTTTGAGACTCTTTATCAGTGTTCGCCAAAATGATGTAAACCTATTAGAGCTATTGCATATTTTGTAATCGCAGAAACAACTGGATAGAAATGAAGTACTGAAGATGGATCGGACGAATTTAATATCCTTTTCCATGATAATTTAATCCAGTATTTAAACGAAAATTATTAAGATCGGACAAATCAAAAATTTAGTCATAACCAACTTAAAAGCAACATTTGAATAAAAATGGCACTGAATTGTTTGGAATGAAGTGAAATTCATCATTTAGCCTCAATAAATTCTCCATTAGTAAACTGTCGTCAAACTTTATCACCTAATCTAAACTAAATTTAGGTGTTAAAAGTAAGGTAGAAGATTTTGATGGAGTTTTGTTCTACTTAAAGTTTGTGCTGATGATGTCTTTCAGAAGAATGATGAAAGCTCCACGACCAAATTATCCGGCTTAGAGAACAAAACTCCACCAAAATCATTTACTTGAGATACAAATCTTCTCCACCATCTCAAAGGTAGAAGATAGAACTAAACTCAGGGCTGATCCATCACATGTTATTCTCTCTTATGATTACTACCAATTTTATTATTATTATTATTGTTTCGTTATTCGTATCACTACTATTAACATTAGATGTAAACACTTTCTATGTAATACTTCCCTAAATTTTTGGTTCATGTGAGCGTACGTGTGTATGGTATTCTATTGTCAATAAATGTCGATTATTAGTAAACAAATATAAATTTCTATTCGGATAACTTGTAGAAGAATCCCATAGATCTTGAAATGATTAAAAAAAGAATCAACTTTCTTTATCACATATGATTTCATAAAACAATCTATTTGTTTATTGAGACATGTAAATGTTTTTCTATTCATCTTAGCTTTGATATTTTAGTTGTGAAGATCATTATCGCTATTATTTAATAATGATATTATGAATTGTCATTATTATTGCAAAACAAAATTAGAAAATCACATTCATGATCAAAAATTCAAAATACCGAAATAAATGTCACAAATAGATTACTATCTATCACTCAATATCGTTTATCTCTCTCTCTCTCTCTCCTTTACTCTCACACTTTCTCCATTTTGTATATGCACAAAAGAAGATGTCAACTATCACAAATAAACAATTCAAAAACAAGCGCATATCTACATAAATGTAACAAATGAAATATATATATATATACCCATATTTCCAATGTCCAATGTTCAAAGTTGTTTAATCCTTCTTTACCTTTTTTCACTTTGAAGTGTTGATTGACGAATATAACAACAAATATGATTTTTTTTTCAACTAATATACTTAAAATAAATGTCTAAATCTAGTTCATAAAAATAATACCATCACTATTATTATTATTATTATTATTATTATTATTATTATTATTATTATTATCGTATATATGATATTTCAGTAGTAAAGTGTATAATGAAAATAATACAATGACTATTACTATTAGCTATCTGTAAAGTTTATGTAATAAGTAAGATTAACGAAGATTAAATAAATACAAAACAGCTGTCACCAATTTCATGATATTTTGTTTATATGATATATTCGATCGTAATACAGAAGATTAAACTGATTCTCTAACGATATACATATATATAACTGAATTTTCGCAGAGATTTTGCCTACCTCTCTTGCTTATTAACAATCCAAATGCTTACATGCCTAAAAGTATGGATTATGAGACAGTTTCAATAATTCTTGATGAATACCATCACTGGATAACATGAATCGTGGCTTCACAATAGGTACAATTCATGTGTTTTTTTTACTTTGAATTACTGAAATAATATTATGGATTTATTTGTTTGAATGAGATGTCATTTTCTAAGTATTTATTAACCACTTATTGAACATCTACTACTTGAATTACTCAGATGATGATAGAGATCTCTATAGTTTGGATATAGATTCTTATTAACAAACTGACATTCACTGGACAATAATGAACTTCACCTAAAATTCTTTTGATTGATAGGTGTAACAGTTTTTCATGGACGACCACTTACCTAGTATTTTTATACAGTCGGACATTTTTTACTTCTAAAAACTTGATAATACTATATTTAAATATCTTGCAATAAGGTTCAGGTTTTTTTTATGGAAATTCGACATTAACACCGTTGGATCCCCTCTCAGTGGTTAAAAGGTTAATGATTTGTATGCGAGACCGAAGGTCCTTTGTACGATTTCCGCTTGCAAGGTCGTAGATGAGCGCTGTTAAGGAGTCAGGTACTAGGAAGAAATGGTTGTCTAGTGCTTCTAGGTTCTCAATGTTGGTTCATCTTAGATCGTTTCATGATATCAATAACACTGCTTTTCAGTTTATGATTCAGTTTGGTGAAACTATGCAACGATGTTACGATCTTATTTTGGAGAGTCTAGAGTTAAATGTTTTATTCATCTGTAAATAGAATAATTAAAATCATAATGATAAATCCTTAGTTGCTTCTGTCTGTCTATCGATAATCAACTTTGTAACATATCTACAATAATTCAGTTATTAAACTTCTTGTATTCATTGAATACGGATTCATGTAGACATTAATTACTAAGAAATGATCACTGACCTACATCTACCTTATTCTAAGTAATAACTAAACTGGATTAAAAAACGCAACTCAGTCAATTAGTACGTCTGAAATGTTATATGTATGACTTGATAATATAAAAGCTAATAATTGAAATTTATTGACATTGAGATGGAGTTGACATAGTCTTCATAAACTGAATGCTGTCGAAAATTTTAAAAATATGTAGTCCAAATATCGTCAATAAAATTTAACAATGATTTCGATATCAGTCAGCATGTATAAAGAAATATGCGAAAGTTTAATAAACATGCTATTGCAAAGAAATTAACTGTATATAGCAGAAATATTGATTAATTCGAAATTGCAGTTAAAAACAGTGTCCCATAGTGACATGCAACTTGTTCCTAATTATCATTTATTGTTCTGATCAGTATTTTTCGTTCCGTTTTCCTTATAATATTCCTTTCTAATCTTGTTGACTAACTTTAACGATATGTTAAAATGACCTATAATACGTTAATCTTGACATTTATTGACTGTTTAGAAATATCACTTGAAGGGTGACGGCAAACTCATAAAAAAGAAATAATACACTTCACAATTAAACATTGAACAACTTTATTGTGTTACTGCAGAATATATAAGGTTTGTATGCGGTAGACATATTTTAATTGCGTTGTCTAATTCAATTGATACTTTGCTGTTTTTACTACTGTCATAAACATCTCTTAAGGTATTTATCTTATTTATTGTCTAATCCTACAACCAACTTTGTCCAATTTCCAATTATTCTTGGTTGTTCTTATTTAGATAATTACTTAATCATTATTCAGTTTTGATAAAAGCAATAGGGTTAGTTTGTGATATAAACTATGAAAAGGATGACAAGTAACTGGATGTGAATAATAATAATAACGAAAACTATCAATGTTTACTGAAGCAATCAAAAACCCTCATATTCAATTAACTATTATCTGTGATAAACCTTGTCAGGGTCATCACCTTTGAATTCAAAACAACTATTTATATCATAAACTCTTCAAAACCATAGAAATATAAATTCAGTACAATGTTTTCCTTCTATAATTAATCGTAATTATGAGTTTGTTTTGTTTTGTCACAAAACAATAATGTTTTTAAAAAAAATTATTTTTTTAGTTTCATATAAATAAAGAAAACTGCGATGCTAATGAATATTAATAATTTCATGGGATCAATTATGCCAAAAACGTCAACACCAACAAAAGAGTTGACTGGAACTGATTATACCGTTGAGTCATCTGGTCACGATATGAATAAAACCGATTTATTAAATTCTTACACAAACACTTTGTCGTCAGTTGCTAGCTCTAAGAAACTTACTACTAGCAAAAATATCAGTAGCTATAACTGTAACAGATCAATTTTAAAAGATAGTGAGACGGAAGCTTCGGTAGAATGCTTGTCAAAGGATGAATCTTATCATAAAACGAACTACAATAGTGCTGAATTTTTACAAGGTTATACACTTATAAACAATCAAGAGAATCTTGAAGCAAATGGGTTGAAAATGCGTCTTTTAGCGACACTCGCTGATATGATTCCACATGATGAAAGTTTAAGTTTACGTCTACTGATGAGCTACACAATTGATGATCAAGAAAGTGAGTGCGTTGTTATTGATGAAACACTGTGTCGAGGGGAAAAGCGTAATGAAACCAACAATAACAGTTTCCAAAATTGTTTAGATAAACCAAAAAGTAAGAGTGGAATTCATGAAATGCTACTCAATGAAAGAAAACCTATCTTGAGTGCAATATCTCTTGAACATTCAACTAGCCAACAAAGTACTTCAAATGAAGCTGATGCATTAGACTTGTCTCTACATAATGAAACATCTGATTCCATGGACTATCATATAGATTCTTTGAATACAAAACCAATAAAACAAGATTATACGTCACAAGCAACTATTGACGGTATAATTAGTGAAACAAAATCCCCATGTTGTATACCATCGAGTTTGTTATCATCTAGCCTTGTACAGTCCAATATGAATTCGACAAAAGCTTTGGATACAGTTGTGGCTACAACGTCTGCAACTAATTCGATTAATCAAATTCCATTATTTGATACGTCTATATTAGCATTACTTCCATTATTACAGCAACAACAACAGTCTCAACAAATACAGCCAAACCAACAAAGTACAAATACATTAGCATATCAAAATGTTTTAAATCCAAGTTCATTGTCATTGCTTCCTGCCACTATTCCTACTTCAATGACAACAATAAGTGCAACGAAATCAAATCCTATCACTTATAATTATACAGGTATGTCGACAAATGCCAATTTGCTATTCAATCAATTATATCCAACACAATTGCAACAAAATATTCAACAAACCAATAATTTACTTACAACACATTTGGGTAGTATAATACCAAAACAAACAGAAACAACGACAACAGAATCAACTTCGACAGCAGTTTTAAATACAATCGCAGGTTCATTAACAAACAATGCAGTTAACACCCAATCGCTTTTAAATACAGCATCTGTTATAGGATTCCCATTAATGAATCCATTTTCACTTCATACAAATATGACTAGTAATAGTAGTACCAGTAACAACAATAGTAATACTGATCAATTTAATGCTTTCCTACCATCTACATCATTTCTCGGAACAACATCAACATCTACACTTTCACAAGCATTACTGACGCAATCAACACCATCATTATCATCATCACCATCGAATATTACATCAATAAGTTTAGGATCGACAAATACCACTGCTACATTATTCAATGTCAAAGATAAGCAAACAGGTTTAATTGAAACTGTAGGTATAATGCCAGGTATAAAACATTTAAATCAACCAATTGCATCATTAATCAACCAATTAACTCTCAATGCTTCGTCTAATAATAATAATAATAATAATAATATTTCACTTAAAACACTCTCAACATTATCCCAACTATTTAATAGTAACCTCCTTACAACAATATCACCTCATAATTCTACAAATAATAATACTACTAATAATAATACAAATTCTACAAATTTCAATATAGTAAATAATCTAACTATACCAACAATAGTAAATACACATATTAATAATAATCATAATTCTTTGGATAATGGAACAATGAATGATAATGAACTAATAACAATAGAGAAAACTCATATTAAATCATCTTCAAGTGCAAGCATATTATCGAATAGTTCTAATCCATTATATTCATTAAATAATCATTCAACAGATAAATTTTCAAAACTAAATTCAACAAAAAATCATAAAAATGAAAATATGAAATTATCAGTGCAACAAAATCAACAATCTAACACCACAACTACTACTAATACTAATACTACAACTGCTAATAGTAATTTTTTATTTGGTCGAAGATTAGTTCTTAGTCGTCGTTTTATTTGTAATCAATGTCGTCGTAATTTTTCATCATTAGCTGAATTAAATCGGCATACAATTGAAGCACATAATTCATTTCGTTGTACAATTTGTTCAGCACATTTTACACAAAGATCTAATCTACAACGACATTCATTGAAACATGTTGGTTTTAAACCATTTACATGTAATCTATGTAAAAAAGAGTATTATCGTAAAGATCATTTAGTTAGACATATTGAAGTAACACATCCAACACATGATCCTAAAATGAATATCACTGTTCATTTAACATCATCAGAGTGTTTAGATTATTTGGATAGATTACAGGCTGGAAAACAATCACAATCACCATTATTACATCATAATCAACCGGAGAATAAAGAATCAACATCTAATTTAGGTTCAGATGTTACTACAAATATTACTACTACTGTTGCTGCGATTACCGCTACTACTATAACTACGGGTAGTAGTAGTAGTAGTAGTAGTATTAAAAACAGTACTGCTTCTGACCTATGCAATAAGAATAGTATTTACAAAGACGATTTTGATTTAATGAATGAAGAGTCCATGAAAATTGAAGAGGCTATATTAGAAACACCAGATATTGAAATGAACGGAGACAATGATATCAATAATAGTAATAATGACGAAGATATTGAAGAACAATATTACAATATGACCGATTGTAATGAAATTAGTTAACTACAATTGATTAATGAATTAGAAACAAACAGTCCATAAGTGTAAAAAAGACTTGAAAACTATTTCATCGAAATTTCCATTTCCGTGTGTATTTACTTGCACAACATGCATCTGATAATGCACCGGTCTCTGTGTTATTACAGTTTACTAATTTCTCAAAAACATTGGAAGTTAGTTTCTTTTTTTCCTACTAAAATTGCATTTATGATAAACATTTAATGTTGTGAATAACATTGAAATCTGTCAGTTACCTTTGAAATACCATTCAGCATTATTATGTATTTATTTAGTACTTATATAAAGGGATATATGCTATTGTGCAGTTCCACTTTTCCAAATGTTTAACCAATTACACAAAGAAGTGAAATGGAATAAATGAAATGAATAATAAACAATAAATCTCAATCATGTTAGTTCCTGTGATTAATTAATTCTTCCAATCTTTTTTTATGATAAAGCTCTTTTTATATTGTGTTTCATTGGATAACAAATAATTCATTTTTATATATACATGCGTGCAAAGTCGGTTTGAACGATAACGTAGACCTTATTCAACATTCCATAATAGAAAACAGAGAAATGAATTTGGATGATGAAAAATTTGACAGAGTATGTTGTATTAAAAGTGGATTTTTTTTGTTTCTACTTCTTATTTGTCTTTTCCATACACAAACATGTTTTTTTTATAAAGTTACTTTTTTGCTTTCATTTAATGAGTTTGTAATTTGTCTTTTATATTTTATTGACAGTTACTTCTATCATTCCTAAATGCTATTCATGTTATTACCACCACAATAACCAACTGATTGTATCGATATTCAGTATTGTCATATCTAATTCATATGTTTTACGCTCAATAATTCCGCTTTATGAAACAGGTTATTTAGTAGTTCGTAATGAAGAAAATATCAATAGAGAAGTGACTATTTTAGACTGATATCGTTGATATTAATGTCATTTTAAATTGACGATTTTTTGGGGAGAAAAAGAAATGTAATTTATACCTGTTTACATGATACTAGCATGAAGTGTCTGTTAGAATATACCCTAAAAGGTTAGTGTTTTGTTAAAAAGATTTATACCATGTTAATCATTTTAAGTAGCACATTTACGGAAAACTGACGAATCACTTAGTGGTGACTTAAGTCATGTTTATCTAGACCTTAGTGTTGATTGAATATTACGGATTCAATGACAATGTGACCACTAGTCTAAGTGACTCGATATAGTGTGGGCTGTTGTGTTAGGTGGTTAAAGGCACTCGACATGAAACTCCAGACCCAGGTGTCGTATTACTTATCACCCATCAGCAAGGTTCACCTGATGTTTCTCGGTGGATAAGAAATCCTTACCACACAGCTTCAAAACTCAAGGCATTACCACTGAGCTATTCAGGTAGTGACTGGCCTTTTTTTAGAACTGAAATGGTCATGCTGATTAATCATGGAATAGGAATCAATATCATGCTTGTTCAGACCAGGGTTTTCAACCGACAAACTTTAACCACCTAAAGAACGGTTACGGAAGCACTTACAGAATAAAATTAATTCATTATATTTTAACGAATCGTACATTCTAGAATCAGGTTGTTTAACTCCTTTTTTAAACAGCTACATGAACGCAGATATCATATTAGGCGGACTGCAGGTACAAAGTGTTATTAATAAAGTACTGATATACCCTATTTATTGATGAAGCTAATAAATAATTATATGATCTTCAGTGTTAACAATGTCAATGAGTGTAAGTGTGCAGTTTTTCATTGATGCATTGTTATCAGGAAACGTATAACTTCAAATCTTAGGTGTTGGACCACAAGAAACACCAGCATAAGCAGTGAGTCTCTGCTGATACACCGAACAAGACTAAAAAAGGAAGAAAAATAAAACAGCAATCAACAGCAGCCGAACAAGAGCAGAGGAAGTTAAGGCACAGGCCGAATAAACAGAAGGAAAAAAAGAGTGAATAGGCGCATTAGAGCTGATAAGCAAAAATACGTGGAAGATCTAGCAATGACATGGGAAAAAGCTGAAAAAGAAGGAAGACAGAAAACCTCTTGATAAAAATAAGGAGCTAGCAAGGAAGATATAGT